AGGGAATAAACGAGCAAGAATGATCATTTTCCATAATTTTAATAATACAAATGTCAGATTAATTGAGCGATAAGAGAATTCGTTAGGCGATTTGCCAGCCTTATGGATCATTTCCAAAGTTAAGAGACTTGCGAGGTTCTCACTTAGTGTGGTCATTGTCAAGACCATGGACTTCATGGTGATCAGATCAAATGCAAGTGCTTTACGAGGGTCCATTTTGGCTATTTCTTTAGCTTAGCCATCTCTTTTAGCGTTAGTTCTTTCGTTTCAGCCGAAAGACGTCCTGCGCCGCTCGCATCCAGGCTCTTCCTGCGACCTTCCCCAAATCGTCGGTCCACCTAGTGGGAGGCCTGCCCACGCTACGTCTTCCGGCTCGTGGTCGCCACTCAAAAAATTTACTGCCCCAGCGGCCATCAGCTCTACGAGATATGTGCCCCACCCACTGCCACTTGATTTTAGCGATTCTGTGGGCTATGTCAGTCACTTTGTCCTCCTGCGTCTTTCGTCCTCAATTAGCGTAGTAGGAATCAATCTTCTACTTTGAACTTGAGGAGGGTAAGCGGAAACATGGCCGTTAACTCCTCAGATAGTCAAGTACAAAGATATCCAAAAGCAGCATACGAAAATATGCAAAATGAGTCCTTTCAAATCACAATGGGAAGGTTTGGCAGCACAACACCTAGAATAGCGGGAGATTGTGTTGTGTAGAGGCGAGTCCGCGAATTCAACGAGCAGCGCACAACGAACTCGACGCAAAACGCGATGATGTAAATCCCGTCCATCTGCCGCCATTCACTATAATTATGTTGGCGGCGGATAATTACTCTCAATATGCGAGGAGTTTGCCGCGAAGATCGGCTATGTAAGCCATCTTCGGGCGCACCAGCGCCGCTAAGACAGCTAAGTCGAAGTGGTCACCATGACCGAAATTGGTCGGATGAATCATCATCATCAGTAGGAATCAAAGGCAGGCATAGCTGCAAGTCTCGGATCAAGTCCAATGCTTGACCTTATTTTTTTGATTGAATGAGAGTTTTCGCGATTGAAAAATCCGCCAGATGGCAATACGTAGACGCGAGGTTCAAATGCTGCATGATTGGTTATTTTTGACATGACATTGACAGATATGTCAAATCCACCAATCATGCAGCATTTGGACCGTCTACGTATTGCCATCTGGCGGATTTTTCAATCGCGAAAACCCTCATTGTGGATATTTGGTTTAAATAAACCGGCTCGTCATGTAGCAAAGGTCTGCGATTTTTCTTGTCAGTTCGCACTCATGTATTACCGGACCTAATAAGCAGAGAACACTTTGAGGGAGGTGCTTTGTTGCCTTCCAGAGGTTGTGGTTCCCATTTGCATTCCGAGACATATTTGCCAATCTCTGTGTGAGTGATTCGCTTATAGTCCAATAGTGTGGGTTATCTGCCAGACGAAGGCGGGGATTTTTTTCTTGACAACAAGAGGGACCGGCGCCTCGCTATCAATTATTTACTAGACCAAGCAGTAACTTGAATAATGTACTTGATTAACAGATTTGTCCACTATGGGACTGTCCAAATCAAAAACGTGCAGGATGTGCCAAGAGTCAGTTGAAGCGCCACTACACATTCTCACGGACTGCGAACCTTTGATGCGCAAGCGGAGCTCACACCTGGGCAAACACATCCTAAGCCCACAAGATGTAAAACATATCGCCCCCCAAAAGATACTGCAATTCCTAATGGATGCAGGACTCGGAGGCGAACTGTAAGGAAAATAGCGGCGATCACAATAGATCGGTACTGGTCGCAGTGCAGCGTTGCCAGACGTCCCGATTTTGGCGGGACGTCCCGATTTTTAAATCAAATTTAAATGTCCCGCGCGGGACAGGCTCTGTCCCGCTTTTCGGAGAGAGACACTCACTTCACCAGACTATTGTTTGAAACGCCATATTATTCTAAAAAAATAAAACTTTTTTAATTTTTTTTTTTTATTCTAAAGGCGAATTTAACGATAGAGTAAACCTGATTTAAAATATATTTTTTTTGTTGAAATACATTTTCTATGGCTACTTTTGCTATCTATTGTCACGTAAACGTAATTTTAAGTAAAATAAAAATATAAATATTTGAAAACCTTTGATTATATACGTTTTTTTTACTTTGTCCCGCTTTTGACGGAAGAATCCCGCTATTTTCACTCAAAAAGTACCAAAGTCCCGACTTGGCGAAAAAAAAAACTGGCAACGCTGTCGCAGTGATACTAGGACTTCATTGAACTAGAATAGCCGCTCAACTCAATAAAAAAATAGTTCTTCTGCGTTTGAAACACATATTAGTACAGTATAAGAGAGGAATAAATTTCAAATAGTTTGTACAGTATCAGTATCGGCGCGCCGACAGCTGGTCGTCGGCGGCGGCGGCGTGAAAAAATTCGCGGCGGCGGCGGCGCGCCGGCGTGGCGCCCACCTCTAGTGGGAACCTATAAGTGGTTTACTCGTTGCCTATCTTATGTCATTATTACACACTGTAAAACCCTGGTTTTCCTAAATAAATAAATAAAATAAATAAATAAAAATAGAAATTGTGAAAAATATTGCAAAAAATCCACACGCTCATACGATTCAATGGAACGCGGAGACGCGATTGGGGTCTCCGCGGTGGTATATTTGGCGATTTATTCAAATAAAGTGTTCATAAGTGTTGTTATGACTTAAGCTGGGTATGACTCCCCCGCCCCACTCCTCTCCCCATAAGGTCATAAGCTGGGCATGACTTCCCCCTCGGCCAGAAGTTNGTTGTGGAAAAAAAAAAAAAAAAAAAATCAAATAGTTAAATACATACATCTAGTAAATCTCGCGACAAGCTTTTAATCATATAAATTGAGTAAAGTAATAAGTTGATGGGTTTGTTTTATTTAATTCTTTTTAGAGCATTAAAAGCTTGTTTTTGAAAAATATTTTTTTTTCTTTACAGAGATAACCCCAGTAGCCAGATGAAACCATGAGCAGACAAATTGAAACTCTGCAATTTGACTAACCATTTTATTCTACTTATTATTTGAAACTTTATTAGGTTTCAATTGAAAGTCAAAATACTGATTAATTAAAATGTTTATTAAGATAAGTAAGTAAGGTTATTTTATTAAATAAATTCTCACAAGTACATTTTGTTTTAATCCCATTAATTTCAGTTTGCCCGCAAGTGTTAATGGTACATTTCTTAAGTGTATCCGGATCTGGATCTGTGTAAGGTTTAGGTGTGATTGTAGAAGGCCATAAATGATACCTGTAATGAATAATAAATTTTGATGAGTAGAATACAGTGACAACAATAATTGTATGGTATCTAGGTAGGTTATGATGTGTATGTTAAGATTTAAAACTTTATATCTAAAAATATAAACACAATATTTCTTTACAGGATGTCTACTTCTTTATTAATTATTTATAGTAGATAAACAAAATTAAGTAGGAGCTACACATTTAATAATAATTAAATAACCCATTTAAAAGTTAAAATTATTAGCTATTAAAATTATAATCAAATAATTACATGTTTTTCCTATCAATTTACTGTAGATATAGCTAAGCTTTAGTTTTACTAATCATAATAATAGAGGAATTAACTATGTTACATTTGTGCGCTGACAAGGCTTTCACTAAAGATTTTTCAGTGAGCATTAAACTTATACTTACATGAGCGCGTTTCTCAAACGAGCTGTCAAAACTGTCAAAATTGTAACTCACACTCGCGATTCAAGTGTGATGGTAATTTACGAGCTCGCTTTCGTTTGCAAATAAATTTACAGATGCCACAGATTAAAATNAACGGCTAGAGTACCTTCTGTACTCGCCACTCTGCCCGGTGAAGCTGGAAAAGCTCCTCAAGCTACCAAATTTTTTTTTTACAAAAAAAAAAAAAAGTTCTGTGAATCTGTGATGGACTTTCCGCGGACGCTAGTTGAAAATAATATAAATGTAAGTTTTTTGTTTTGGGCAGGTAATCGTAAAAATACGCACAAATTAACATTTGTTTATGTATTTTACCAGAAAAACAATATTGTGATTAGATAATTATTGTCTTAATAATTCGTATTGTGTGTGTAAAAAATAATTAAGAACTAAATCTGCGGCCCCATAAAATTTGCCGCTCTAGGCTTCAGCCTACTCAGCCTACTGGTAAATGTCCACCACTGGCCGTGGCCGTGGCGGTGAAAAAGTTAATGTTGAAGGCCAGCAACAAGACTCACTTTGGGACGCTGCGCCCACCCAGCGCTCCAATATTGCGCTAAATATTTTCAACTGCAACGCGACTGAACAACGAACGTAATTCAGCTGTTTGCACAAATTCGTATCGCGGTGTTCGCTCGCTTTGACAGATAGTTCAAAAGAAGCTGTAACGTAGTAAACGGATCGCAACTGCGTCTTTGTGTGAAAGCTACTTTTTCTCAAACGCAAGTCACGCTTCACGAACATTTGCTGTGTTTTAGTGAAAAAATAAGGTGTTCGAACTTTTATTGGAAAGTGCTTAAATCCGTTGTTTCGTCTTTCTTTGCTCGTGAACTTTACCGCAATACCGAATTGCACATTAGCTGGAATGAAAATGGGATTGAGTGGAGTGTGGACTAGTGATGAAACGCGAATGAATTGGAGACATTACAAATTAGCGCAATCGGGGCCCAGCTTGCTTACTTAGGTAGTTGTTGTTTTTAAAATTTGATGTCTAAACAAGTTTATGTATTTAGTTTTAGATCATGTGAAAGTACTGAGAGCACCTACCTAAAGCCTTGCGGTTCACAGTACGTACGTACTCGTACTCGTACGTACACCAGTGAAAGTAGAGTACTGCATAGAGAAAAGTAATACAAGTACTGAGTGGTAGCATAGCATGAGTAGCGATCGCAGTGCATATCGGAACATCTCAAATCTGTCAATCTGTCATTAGTGTCATCACAAGTGTCATTTTCAGCCATTTCAACGTCACTGAGTCAAAAGCAAAAGATAAAATTGAACTTTGTTTTTTTCTATTTAAAAATTTAATTAATGCGCAAAACGAAAACTTGAAATAAACTGTAATTGTAATACCACTTTTAGATTAAAAGATGTATTTAAAGTTTTACTGTATATTTTGGCAAGAGCCAAGTCGAAATTTACGATTACCATTACGTGTGTCAGCCAGCAGATAATTCAGTTGCGCGTGGCTCGTTCGTGCTTCTTATCAAGTTGTTTGTTTGCTTCATGTGAACTTCGAATGCCCTCCCTCGACCTCCTAGCTCCCAGCCCCGCTTATCGTTATCAGCACAATAAAATGAGAAGGAAGGTAATTAATTCACCAGATACTGTCGCGCATTCACGCACGGAATACATACTTTCTTGCATACGCGCTCAGATTTTTGGTTGTTCTTGAGTTATAACCTGTCTGTAACTTTTAGTTGAAAAGTTCTAAGTACCTGTTGTGTTAATATTAATTGTTTGTGATTTTTTCCTTCATCCTGCATTCAAGAGGAGGAATGCCAAGTGACTGTCGAGACTGTTTGGGTATTCGTTATCGAATTAATTCCCTGCACCAGACCTGGAAGTGGCTGCATCAGACCATCGCTCTACACGAATATCTGATCTCCCTCTCTTCGGCTGATACTGACGCTTGTTGCTGTATGCACTAGTGTATTTGTGTGGACTATTAGAACAGTTTTTCAATCGTAACTTTAAGTAGTTTAACTAATTGACGCTTAATCAAAGTAGTTGTTAAGAGGTTCATACAGAAAAGTCTCCGTTTTATCCACTTACTTGAAAATGGCACAAGCAATGATGAAGAAGATCGCCATGAGCAGTGCTTGCGTTATGATTGGCCTCACCAGAAGAGCCAGTGCCCGCACCCTGGCCACGAGTGGACAATGTCTCTCTTCCAAGAAGAAGGAGCGTGAGTTGCCGGCAGAGGGGGAGATCACAAAGTCAGTCTTCATGTCTCAATCTACTGACATTTACACCAATCTGGCTCTCGAAGACTGGATGTACCGTAACATGGATTTCTCTAACCACCATGTTATGATGGTTTGGCGGAATGAGCCATGCGTTGTGGTTGGTAGACATCAGAATCCTTGGTTGGAGGCCAACGTGTCACATCTAGCTGAAAGGGAAATTGCCTTAGCCCGCCGGAACAGCGGCGGCGGCACCGTGTACCATGATCGCGGAAACCTCAATATTACATTCTTCACACCTCGTGAGAGGTATGACAGGAAGTACAACTTGGAGTTGATCAAGAGAGCACTTTTCCGGGGCTTTGGCATCAAGTCCACCATCAATGAGCGACAAGATCTCATTGTCAGAGACAAATACAAAGTATCCTTTATAAAAACGAAATTTAAATCATGCATTTATTCAAACTTAGTATGAATTTACTTTTATTTTACAAAATCATGGTTCTCTTTATTGTTGCACTCATCTTTTGTCTTGATTTTAAGTCATTACAATCTTATCAACTTATATTGGTGTCTGGAATAATTTCCTGAATTGCAAAATTAGATTTCTGGCACTGCTTCAAGGCTGAGCCGTTTGACAGCGTACCACCACTGCACCCTTCTAGTCAACGCCAATAAGGCAGATCTCAGCAAAGCTCTGGCTAAAAGAGAGGTGAGTAACAAAGCCTATTGAGACAGGAATATCATAGTTTGTACAATTATACTTATNTACGGGACACCCTGTATATATAGATTAACTTTATTTTCTTCTTTAATCCATTTCTCATTTTGTGTCTTCCATAATTAGTAAATCCATAAAAATAATTTAAAATTGCATTTAACAAAAAATATTCTAATTGAACTTATCATTTTGTTGTTCTACATTTGTGACAAATCATCAAGGGCCTCTAAATATTAGGCAATAATGGATCAACAGTATTGTTTAATTAGGCAAATGAACATTTTCACATATGCATTGATGTCAAAGATCACACAAGTTTCTGATCACTCATTGTTTACCACCAAGTACCAATGCATAGTTTGTGCATACAAAATAATGCATTTGTTTCTAGGGCTTTGTTTCTTTTAACACAATGTTTTTTAATGTGATGTAATTTCATTAGTGTTTAAGCCNTTCATTAGCATTCTTCTTCAGAAAGTAATTTCATATTCATAGCATGCTCTTTCCTAATGTGACTATTTTATGTATTTGTTTTATACTAACACCTTTGTGCCACTAACAACCCATCCCATATCCATAAGTTAAGGGCATTTTTAATTCTATTTAGCATGGCATACAGACGAACGCGACTCCGTCCACGCGTTCCCCGGTGGCAAATCTGGCAGAGATGGACAACCGGGTGACTGTGGACAGCCTGCAGACAGCTGTGGGCTACGAATTCCTTCGGACGCCAGCCCTACACCTTGGAGACGGCGGCCAGGACATGATTTCAAAGCAGCGAGGATTCCAGTTTGTCAACCCTACAGATGATTGGTTCCCAGGTGAGCTACGAACTTTAGCTTTGTTTGTCTTTTGTCTTCAAGTGGTATCTACAAGTACCTACTTAAAATTTCTGGAACATTTCCAATCATAACACAAAATTATGCACAATAATCTTATCATTATTTACATAAATAACCCAGACTGTGCTAAAGTCTGGGTGATAGTTACCACATATCAGCTATTTACAGGGCGTTGACTTGCATTTGAGTGTTTGAAATAATAATAACATAGGCGCGATATTATTTGTATTGTGATTAAGTTTGTTTTGTTTTTGTTACCAGGACTTGCAGAATTGAAGAACGAGCTTCAGACTTGGGACTGGTGCTTCGGCAGGACTCCGGACTTCACCGTCAGTCGCAACTTCCCGGTACCTGCAGAACTCTTGGCTCCGTCCAAGATCTACTCATCCACTGAGGAGCTCGTCATTAACATGAGCGTAGTGAAAGGTCTGATCAATGACGTCACTCTTAAAATTCCCCCGGGTCTAATAGAATCAGGTTTCCATGGAGAGGCTTCCGTAATCACTCATCTCAAAGGGAAGCGATTCACATCCGAAGCCCTTACCGCGCTCCAGGAGGCGATGTTGACTCGTCACTTGAGTTCTGACGTTAAGCAGTTGGACGAGAAAGAGCAATTCGTCGCGAAATGTTTCGATCAAGTGGTCAATACCATCTAAACAGTCTTTGTAAAAAAAACGTAAAGGTGCTATCTAATATGTATAACAATGTAAAATATACTTAGACTAGACATTTATCTGTACAAGGATATGTTTATCTAATGAAATAAATTGATAAGCTGCTAGTGTCTCTACAGTGTAAATATAATATTTAGGTGATGTACAAAATTATATTTTTACAATAACTAGCTGTTTCAGAATAGTCTTATGTGCCTGTATGTTGTCGCTTCCTATGCCTATTATCCTTTTCGTGTTTTCAAAGGTGTTTGGTTTCTTGTTTGTAATTAATTTTCAATCTGCTTATTACATTGTGTTCTTTTAGTTTAGAATTATATTTTATGTTATTTGTATTCCTGACACTTAATAATTGCATTCATTGTTTTACGTGAAAACAACAACTAGCTCAAGGTCCGTTAGTGCTTGCTACCATCAGTAGAATTTTCACAATTAAGTACAATGACTAATCTGATTTGAATGATGAGGCAGGGCCTCGATGTATAAATTAACACGTTGATTAACAATTTAATGCACTATTAAGTTTGAGGCATACGACATCAACACGCGAGTCGCACCTTTGTGCTGAACGCTACAAGAATGCATCATATCATTTGTTTTAATTAATTAAATTATAATTTTTATAACTGGATTAACTACCCATGTAATGTTACTTATCGACATTTTACGTAGCATGTAATCTATTTTAAGCTTCGTTGTACCCCGAAGACCGTTTCATAACAATCCTTTGGTTTTCATAAGATCTGCCCGCGACGGGAACTTTTTTGTATGAAATGGATTTTAAAATAATTTTAGTTTCTGGTGTGTTAGATGTATGTATTTGAGGTCACTTCTTTGTCATAAGTAGGTCGTCAATCATTATAGTTATTTGTATATCGGAACTGACTTGTCTAACAACAATATTAATATCGTTACATTCATAACTAATTTTAGTTAAATATGTAATTTCTATATTTTTGTTAGAGTTATTTTAATGAAGGTATACTGAGTTGTAGGGTAATGATTTATTCTGCTATGTTAATTTCTTACACCGTTTGTGGCAAAGTAAATAGTTGATCGTGTATTATTTAGATTAATTGAATGTGGAATAAAGTTAATATACCTACCTAACATTTTTCTTTCTTTTACTGACCCAAAAAAAATTAATTTATTAACTTGCCAATTACCTACCTGGTAGATAGAGCTTTCCGTTCAGTTGATAGCTCAAGGTAATGTGTGATTAATTCTTATAATACCATAAATAAAAGATTCGAGACTGACTTTTGTTTTATGGGCCGTAAATGAAGAGGTGTACCGGTAACAAACTGGTAGGCGTGGGTTTGCCTAAACGAATGTCGGATTAGCAGAAGCGCATTGTCCTCGCAGAGCAAAACCCGCTTGGAGCTCTTCCTCTCGCTTTCGGAGAGGTGGTCGATGGCCGCGCGCGCTGCCAGTCCGCGACCGTGCACTGCGCGCGCGCACCGTGCGCCATATTGAATCTCCACGGGTTGTCATGACAACCGCGTAAACAACGCGAAGTTATCGTGATCGTCGGCTTCATTGCTTTTCTTGTTTCACAAATTTTGGACAACTAGTGCTGTGGTATAAGTTACATGTATGTTTCCATTGCGGAAAGCTGACGAGTAAGTATGACTACTTAATTAAGATTGATCAAATACTTCTTTTATCTTTAAACACTTAGGTATATTTGGTTCTAAGCTTACTTGTACAAAGTACTTTCCTCCTCAGACAGACCGACTGTCGATTTATTATGTAGGTAGGTAATTGAAGAAAATCGTTACATACTTATAAGGACAGATGCCTCCAATTTTATGTTTAACATGAGGATTGAGGACTCTACCAAATGCTCTATAATTTATTACTCCAATGAGAAGTTCCATAAAATAAATTAAAATAGAGTTTTACATACAAGTAGTTATCGTCGTAGATTGTACTTTACTAGAATTTAAATCCTAACGTTTTTTTACGTGAATTAATTCCGCTTACCTAATAGTAACATTTTTATTTCATATCGCAAGCTGTTTGTCTGAACTTCTGTACCAATACTTCTTATTTAGGGCAACTTTTCTATAAACTTATCATCAAACTCATATCTATTACTATCTACACTATAGTATAGGCTTAGGCACCCTTCTTGCTTCTTTTTTTTAAAGTTCCCGGTGGTCCAGGAGCTTGGTAGGTAATTATTATTTGTGGCGTTGGTTGATTTCACCTACCTACCCATAAAGTTAATATTCCTTCGGAAGGAATATTAACTTTATGTACCTACCACAAAATGGTAAAGCTAAGACTTACGTATGAGATGTTAAGAACTAGAGACTTAAGTAGCACGTAATACAGTAGGTAAGAAATACTTACAGAATACAGCGTTTTGAATGCTCATGAATTTTTATGCTTATCTTTAATAGCATACCTTTTAATGATTGATTCATTTCATTTTCTATATTTCATTACGATATTTCCTTTATTTAAATTACATTAATTGTACCGACGAAACGGAAACGGCATATCAAAGTAAAGTAACATATTACCTACCTACATAATTATGTGTAAGTAGTGTTAATGAGCAAATTAAAAAGTATTTGTTGCAATGAAATGGAGTCGATGTGCCGGAAAAAATAATTATTATTAGCTCATAACTTTTTAGAGTTTCGATTGTAGGACTGAAATTGGGAATACTTACTTGAAGATATTATCACGAAACACGCGAATTATCCTGGGGCTGAGCATACGTGGAAGACTTCAATTCATCGCGTGAGTTGGGACATTATTGAGCGTAATTAAGATACTTACGTGTATTAAGTAATACGATTAATAAAGAAATAAATGTTATCTAATATAATCTTATGCCAATAAGTACCGTTAGATAGGTAGGTGATAGGTCCTTATAGTTCTTGCAACTCACGGAGGCGAGTGAGCTTTATTTGTGTCTGTAGGTACGTGTAAGTACATGCATAAAAGATGGTGTAATGTCATGTATCAATTAACTATACCTACATTACATGTACTTATTACCTATGACCTGTTTATTAACTAAAATTATTAAGTCACTAATACTACCTACGACTCTACCTTTCCAAAAGTTTCATAACAATTTAGCAAATTATTTTTTCACTAGAAAATAATTTAAACTTTTCGCAACTTCAATTTTATAATTTCTAAATACTTAGTGTTTACTAACATGTTTACATGTTATATCAGAAAACATAAGTGAGAACGTACCTACGTGTTTCGTTTAAAATGATTTCAGAAGAAAATTGAGTGATAGTTCTCTCAGGCAGGAGTTTACTTAATAGAAGGTGCCTGTGCATCTCCGTTGCACAATGAATAATGGTCGACCGCGCGTTATGTAATGCTGGGCACGAGCTTCGCCATGAAATGCTACCTCATAGCTATAATACCTAGGTAATTCATTTACTTTAAAATTGAATACCAAATTATTAGGATAATTAATTCACAGACTTTTGTCTTAGGAATGTCTGCACATCTTTCCATACATTAAAGTTAATAGTCAGACAATTAAAACAATTTCCATTAGACTTTAAAATCTACCATGAAAGGATGATGGGCACAAATGTATGGAAAGTGGTACCCGCTCCAATAGCCATAACCAATATACAGGGTGTTTGGCGCATCGTGTGCCAAAATAATTTGGCGGATAGAATGGGTCNTCCATAGTGCGTTGGTTGATTTCAGCTACCCACCACAAAATGGTTAAGCTAAGACTTACGTATGGGATGTTAAGAACTAGAGACTTAAGTAGCACTAGGCACTTAAGCCATGAGACCAGAAAAATTTTGTATGAAAAATTAAACAGCGCCCCCTATATTATAGCCGCCCTAGGGGGCGCTGTTTAATTTTTCATACAAAATTTTTCGATGACACTTTGAATACGCAACGAAACGAACTCGAAAGTTTTTCCTACTAGAGGTACAGTAAATTCTTTTTTCACTAGGAAATAATTTAAACTTTTCGCAACTTCAATTTTATAATTTCTAAATAGTGTTTACTAACATGTTTACCTACATGTTAATCAGAAAACATAAGCGAGAACGTACCTACTCGTTTTGTTTAAAACAATTTCAGAGAAAAATTGAGTGATAGCCTGATCAGGCAGGAGTTTACTTAATACTTAGAAGGTGCCTGTGCATCTCCGTTGCACAATGAATAATTGTCGACCGTCGCGTTATGTAATGCTGGGCACGAGCTTCGCCATGAAATGCTACCTCAAAGCTATAATACCTAGGTAATTCATTTACTTTAAAATTGAATACCAAATTATTAGGATAATTAATTCACAGACTTGTGTCTTAGGAATGTCTGCACATCTTTCCATACATTAAAGTTAATAGTCAGACAATTAAAACAATTTTCATTTAAAATCTACCATCAAATTATTTTCGTAGTCGATTAGGTAGAATTGATCTTAGGAATTTGATTGTTTCCTTTGAAGTCAGTTTTTTTTGTATTTCTCCTTTGATGTTTTCCATTGTAAAATGTCTAAAGTTTTTCGTTTTTCTTCGTGTCATGAAGGCGGGATGGTCTCGTTAAAAATGAAGCGTATGTTAACCCTAGTCCGTAGCATGATATAGGTACCTATAGCGTTCATTGATTTCCCACACTATGTAATGCCCTAGCCGGTCAGCGCACTTTTACCTTTCGCTTATTGAGACCTACAGTCTACACCCAATGCGATCCATGGAGGTCTTCAATTGAGCCCTTGTATATAGACCTAATACCATCGAGGGCAGAAAAATACATGAGAAACCCAATAAACGTAATGTTTTCGAACACTTAGGTTTGCACGAGAGTTGTTAGAGTTGCACTACTTAACTTTAACGGTAACTATAACGATAACCGGTGCTTTTTGTATGGAGTTTGACAGATTTTTGACATTTGTCAAAGTTAAAGTAAGATGGTGCAACTCAGCCTTCTTTATAGTTCACCTCTACGAAATGTCTGTTATCGGAATTCTAAAGATAGTTTTTTGGAAACATCTGATCAGAAGAATCGAACCAGTGACCCAATGCGCTCAAGACGATTCATTGCCCCAACTTTATCTATCAACAATGAGATGATTAGTTTGCTCGCTAAATCTAAAAATTTCTATTGCAACTATTGAATTTAATTGCGGAATACAATGTGTCGTATTGAATATTGATGGTACCTTTACTTCTACGTACATAGAATTGGCTTACAATTACAAGGTCTCTTCCTAGTTCATATTACATACGATAAAATTGGTTATAGTTGTATTGTTCCGAAATTTTATTTAAAAGAAGAAGCGTTTTAACACCGAGGTTAGATTTAACAAAAGGTGAATGGGTAAAGGTGACCGTGAAATTTAAAATTTTCTTATACTTACAAGGTTTATAAACCATTGAGACGGTATTACCGGTATTCTATAATACTTATCCTACGTCATAAGTGTGTGCCTACTGACTTAAATATTATTGTTATTAACTTATTGTGATACGAGACAATAACCTTTTACGAAGAGATATAAATCTCTGGACAATAAAGAAATAAGTATTTAGAATCTTGTACTTAGGTAGGTACTGCAGGTATCAGGTATGTACTCGTAGTTCAAATCAACTTTAAATTAGTTTCCCAACTTTCTGAGTAACTATTTTCCGATAAATATAACTCTCTTGCCAAAGTACCAAATCCTATAAAATTCTTATATCTAAGTCACAAGATAGAAGACCTAAAAGATAAAGGAAGCGCATAATCACACACATTTGAAGTGCTGCATGAATTATTGCTTTCAGAAGGTTAATTCAGAAATCGTTTCCAGTGCGCACTGCAATTAATACACTTATTGCGGTGGTTATGCACTTAACAGCAATCGATCATTTTACGTCGGGCTGCTTGTTACTTAATTGAGGATTTATGCTTCAGCGTCATACTCGTAGTACATGGTGTAGTTCCGTAGTTCAGTGTTGCATATTAGATCATAGATTTTGATTGCAAACTCGCATTTATTACAACTACATACGATATTACAGTGTTTAGCTCAATACGCTGCTTGTTCAAACATTTTCATTACGTGTTTGGTGGAGCGAGGAATGCTGAAAAGTATTTGATTGAGTATCGCTATGTAAT